GAATTATATTTGAGTTTATTTAGTCATTGTAAAATTTCATGTGATTATAACATATGTAGAGTCATTTTAATTATACGAATTTATAAATACAATAAGATTATATTACAATTTTTATTAAATCAATTAATTTTTAATTAAATCATAGACATAAGATGACATATGTCACTCTGTCATTTTTTTTTATAATATTAAAATATTATAAAAAAAATTCATTTATTTCCAGAAGAAATATAGTTTTACATAAGCCATAAAAATATAAATTAATTCAATATCATTATAAGTATTATCAATGTAAAATTATGTTATCATACTTTAATTTTTTTCTACTCTATGGTGCCTTAAAATAATTATACATCATTAATCCATAATCACAGATATATAAATATTATCGTTATCATAGATAATATTGAAGATTGTATTAATTTTATAATTAGTATCTTGCATAAATTTTCTAATGTTTATGTACTCGTTTTTAATTTTTTGTATAAAAAATATGAAAATGTTAAAATTATTATATTGATTTACTTCAATTAATTGTATTATAATATTATATTATAAAATTTATTAATAAATATTAAAAAACTAACTAAGAAAAAATACAAAATCTAAACTTTTTAAAGATTTCACATTGTTTATCTGTGATTATAGATTAAATTAATCAATGTAAATGAAAATGTAAATGCCAATATAATAGAATATATTTTTATAAACTATTTAGATGATAAGAAATAAGAGTAAGATAAAGAAATTAATTTTTTTCTTATTGATTACAATGAATTTTATACAAAGTGTACAAATCGAATGCATAAAAATAAAACATGTAAATATCACAATGAATATTTAAAGCGATTTGTAAAATCTCCTTATACATATTATGAAAAATATATAAATAATTTGTATACAAAAGGTGATTACTGACGATATAACAATATTTTTTTCTTTGTAATTTTATTTGTAAATAATTATCTTACAAACAAGAGACGCAAAAATATACAAGCTTCTTATGTTCGCAAAAAATAACAGCACCATTTCTCGCCTTGCCGTGAGCATACATTTTCGTATCATATCACGGCTTTTTAGTGTTCGTGCAAGTAGAATATGATGATACATTTTTTTGACAAAAAAGTACATCATTGCGATTAATGTGCATCAGAATAAAAAAAATGGCTCGTAGAAAATTTCTTGGTGCCCTGTGTTTGTGACACGTACGCGTCCCTATGCACCTGTATGATTAGCGTACGAACTACTATTACTGTGAAAAAGATATGATACAGAAGTGATTCCTCGCGATTTCACCTATCAAGGCTGAAGATTAATCGATTAATGAATAATAAATATTGATATTTGTTTAACTTATCTGATTATTCTAGACAACTATCAATTTATTAATATAAAAACGGATTAATTTATTTTTACTATTAATCGATTAATTTTAGCGCCCTATAAGCTATTTCTATTTCTATACACAACAGTCGGTTTTGCATAATGGCAACATCATTGGAAACTTCTTTTGGCAGCAAGTATATATGAATTACATATTTCATTAAAGAAAGACGGAAGTCATCGATTGACAAAAAGATTATTAATAACACAAAATCTTAAATTTCATTATGAAAGACATACTATTCATATCTTTTCCTATTTGTTTACAATCTCAAAAAATTTACATACAAAAAATATTATTTTACAACTTTAAGTTATAAATAATACCAAACTTTAATAAAATCATTTATTTCTTTTTCAAGCTGTGCACAATATATTGCATGGACCGTATAAATAAAAAATATATTTTCAGTATAAAATACAACAGATTACTAACAAGATTAACTCTTTCTGAGAAAGGGAAAACTCCCTATATATATACATATATGGGAGAACTTAATTGCTGACCTCAAAATATTTCACGAATACAGTTAGTTTTATGCAAGATAAGACAATATCAATTATATCGACAAAATCTTGCAAGTAATCAAACAAATAACACGTTATCAATCCAATATAAACAAACATAGATTTTTTTATCACGACCAAGAACAGCTCTTGAGTATAAATTGGAAATATTACTTTACTAAAAGAACAAAAATAAAGATGACGGTGCCTGTACAAAATGACTCGATGTTCATCATTAACTATTATTTTCTTATCAATAAAGTATTCCTAAATATGGCATCTTCAGCATATTACTTTCTTCTATATGTTTTTTTAGAGTTATCTTTGTACGAAGATCCATCAAGAAATCAATCAATAGAATATTGCCGTAAAAAAGAATTTCATTTTGAAACTTTAAAAACAAATGATGCAATTAAATTATTAACGTACAAAGATACTCCTTAATATTGTATTATACATTTCGTTTGAATGGAACTTTTAGAACTTTCAGAAACATGACCCTGCGTACCAAAGTGGTCAGGAAAGTAGAGTCAAGTGCAGTCCTTGTAGTTTTATTATAATTGCCGATCATATGATAAATATTATTAAAGCTATCGCATAGTTATCGATATTAATGATAATATTAGCAATACCCCTAAGGCTATTGTTTATCGTTATCATTACGAATTTACGCTATATTTAATATTTACAACTGAATAACAATTTTTTCGCTTGTTTCCGGAACGGTGCTCAAACAATGTCGAGAGAAAGGAAACAAACTAAAACGAATTCACTTCTAAATGACTTTGAAGAACAAATAAAAAGAAATTCGAAAATGTATAGGAAAATTGAACTCTTTTCTTAAATAAATTTACCGGCAGTTCGATTGAAACATTTTCGAATTTCCTATAATTAATAGTCTTCAAAATTCAAATAGAAGTAATTACGAGGCACAACGCTAGAAATAATATACATTTACAATGACCTTAAAAATGAAGCGATAAATCACTCCAATATGAGTCTTTGAATATAATGCTTCTTATAAGATATGCACGTATATGTACAAATATACATATACATAACGTATATGTATATGCATATACAGCAAAGAGCTGCCCATGTCTCCCCAACAACGGCTACATCTAAGACGAAAAGCTCGTTTATTGATTAAGTCCATACTAGTGTAAAAGTAGATCCCTTTACATTGCACTGTCTTCATACAGACTTTGCCTGAGACATATTTCCAACACATTGCTCAACCCTTTGCTTATAACATATACGCCAAAAGATAAAAATCAATTTTATATTATGATCATCTTTTCATCACTGACATTATCCAATTGACATCGGATATAAAGAGATTGGAAGGAACTTCGCATAGATTTTTCCTACCGATCCGTTCATTTTATCCGTCGATTTTGTTTGATATAAGCATTGCTTACCCTAACATATTTAAGATTTATAACTACACAAAGTCTATTTAAGAATTTTATCAATTAGTTACACAATTATGAGCACCCGCGACACATATGGAAAGAATGAAATGTGAACATCATTTTTTAAAGTCTTCTTTGAACCTTGCTTTCAAGCTCGATCTCAATCTAATTAAACCTTTGGCGTGGATGTCATGACGCATAAAACATGGCAGCAGCATTTTTAGATTATTTCCAAGGGATCGCACACATAAATATATGAAGTAGATGCAAAATTACAAACAAAAGGATTGTAAAAACAATTAAATATATTATCGAAAAGACAATTTTATGATTATTCTACATATAGAGTATGATTCTATCATATAACAGAAAATGTAGATCCCTTGTTCATAAGTAGTAAATAAAAATTACAGAATTACAAAAATCAATTTGTCAACATCTCATTTTTTTTTT